AAAATCTCTTACAACTTACAGGTGGTTTGAAAGACCTGGCCCTCTAATTGTACTAAACATATAACTAAGAGTCTTGTAATCAATATTTAATAATATGTGGCTGATTCCAAGATAGATCTTACTTTTGTAAAGTAATCTCTGTCAGACTCAGATCAATTATCAATCATAAACCTGTTACAACCTCAGTTTAATAATGGATATTGTAGTACTGATGGCACAAAACAGATAAGCTGCTGTAGAGTTTGTTAATGACCTCTTCCTTGAACAAATTCTTGCTAAGGCACTTCAATCAGAAACTAGAGCTGTGTGGTTTAAGACTACTACTCTGTTATGATTGTTACTGTTGATAATCTTTGTTGTTAATAACACTATTTATATTCACTACTTGTTATGGTTTAATGGTTCTAGTTCTACTATACATAAGCTTTGACTTTATTTAACTAATTCTCTGACAATCACACAACAAACTACTACTTATGGGTGATCAACTTACTTCTGTAGGCTGATGGGGGAAAGGGGAAATCCTGGTGGAGAGAGGTGTCAACTTCAGCCCAAAGAATCCAACAATTCTGAATCCAAATCCAAATTTCAAAATTATGCTTTTGTTTTTTCCATTTAGCTCTTTATACAGTTAGAAAATTTCTTTAACAATAATAATAAATACATAATAGATAGTCTACAAACTACGCAACACATCAACATGACTCTTTTCATTATAAATACTAGTATCTTGTTTCACTCTCTTTGGTTCCCTTATGGGATTTATTTTGTAAACTTCTCTTTTGAATAAAATCTCATCTCAGTTTTGTTACAACTCCTCAATACAAAGATCTGTGCTCAGAAGTCGGGCTATTTATTACAAGAGGACCTCCTTTTGTATTGAAGAGTGAGGAATTTCTGCTGCAGGGGACTCCTTGTGAGATATTTTTGCTGCAGGTAACACACACTAGCACAGCATGATGTTGTTTTTTGCTGTGAAACCAAGCCATGTAGCATGTGCTGAAACAATCCAAAGCAGTAATCCAGTACAGTCTACAGTCTTATGAGATCTGTTACTCAGAAACCGAATCCAAATTCTAAATGTTCTGTGTTTCATCTGCTCAGATGAAACACAGAAGAAACATCAGATGAAACACTCACTTACTTACTTCCTTGTTCATTTTTCAGGGTCAAAGCCTCTCTGCCTACCTTCCTTCTCCCCTCCTCATCATCTGTATTTTGTTCTTCTATACAAGTTAATCAACAAATACAACCATATTACATAGCCTACCTACACACACCACATCTACATATGGGCACTGTATCCTGTTTTTGTATTTCCACTATGAATCCTATGTAATGAATGTCCTCCTCTTGTAGGGAATGTTAAGTGTGTGTAACTTATAACCTCTTCCGTATGCTTTTGGAAATTGGAACAGGCACAGCACCCCACATTGCCTATGTGAGCCAAACATCCCTAGGATGTTTTGCTCACATAAGCAAGCAGAGAACCTTACTGATTTCCAAATCAGTAAGGTTCTTGTTGAACCTTTGGGCTCTTGAGAGGCAGGTTGCAAACCCCACCATTGGTTATGCTGCCCCGCCAATCAAGAACCCAGCTATCTTGGTTATTGATTGGCTGTCAGAGGGCCCCGCCCCTCTTTGAGGGGCAGGTTTTACTCCCCGCCCCTTGGAAGCCTGATTTCTTGTAAAGTCAGGACTCCAATGGGCAGGTTAGATTGCACACCCCTTTTGGAGGGGCGGGGAATCACAGGAAGTGTGATTATCAACACACTCATGGATCGGCTCAAAGAAGAGTTGGACTTTTGTCTGTTGTTAGTTACTTGATTGGTTTACAGAAAAATCTGGGGACTTTACAAGTCCCATGCCCATTCCTGGTAGCTTCTGGAGCCTAGTCTAGAGGAACATGATCTGTGAGACACAACTGTGGAGCCTCTGGAAATCTGGATTTACAGATGATTGAATGGATGTGAGCCCAAGTGAATTTTCAAGGAACAAGTGGAGCCTCCCATGCCAACCTGAAGGAGTGTGTTGGACATTGTGGTAAGTATGCTGTTAATTATGGCTTCCTCTGATTGATCTGATTTTCTGAGGAGCTCAGTGGATATGTCCAACATGAGAGGCCCGGGCATCCACCAGGCTGAGTAGTGTGCAGCCCTTTGGGTTTACCATATTGGGAACCAAGATATTTTGTGTTGTGGAATAGAGGATGCACCTGAGTTGATGATGATAATCATCTGGAATGGGCAGCTGTAACTCTGACTTTTGACCAGTGAGGTTAAAACCTTCCATAATTCTTTGAGGTTCCTGATTCTAGTAGAGATAATAAATCATCAGAATGAAAGAGTACGCAGCCTGTTGAAGTGGGACATGGGGCATGATAATGGCATGCCAATTGCTTGCAGGGGGTATTACCCTGTGGATTGGCGTGCCTGCCTGCACACCAAAAATATGTGGTCCAAAACACATATGTATATGTGTTTAGGACCACGTCTGTCCCATATGACCCTGGGATGGTCCATAAGGCATATACATATTCATTTAGGATGGGGTCCATCCCATAGGACCCAGGCATGGGTCCTATGGGACGGCCCCACCATTGTTTTTTTGTTTTTCAAACCCCCTTGGCCTCTCTAGGCTGAGGTCACACTGCCAGGAGGAACCCCTCCCGGCGAGCCTGTGTACATCCCAGCTCGTTGGAAGGGATTCCTTCCAACAAGCTGATATGAAAACCAGCTCTCCGGGAGGAACCCCTCCCGGCGAGCTGGATTATGTACCAGCTCGTTGGAAGGGGTTCCTTCCAACAAGCTGGCTTTCAAACCAGCACGTCAGAAGGAATCCCTTCCGACGAGCTGGCTTTCAAACCAGCTCGCCGGGAGGAACCCCTCCCAAAGAGCTGGATTTTGTACTAGCTTGTTGGAAGGAACCCCTTTGGACGAGCTGGATCATGTACCAGCTCGTCGGAAGGGATTCCTTCCAACAAGCCAGCATGTACACAGGCTCGCCGGGAGGGGTTCCTCCCGGCGGTGTGACCTCAGCCTAGAGAGGCCAAGGGGGTTTGAAAAAAAAAAAAAACAATGGCGGGGCCATCCCATAGGACCCATGCCTGGGTCCTAACCGCATATGAATATGCGTTTAGGACCGCATATTGGGCGTGCAGGCAGGCACTCCAACCTGCAGGTGAGTGGTGTGCCTGCCTGCACGCCGTTCTGCAATGGCGTGCAGGCGCGTACCCCAATCTGCAGCTGGCATGCAGATTGGTGTGCGCTTAACAACCCCCCAATAAATTGTGCAATGAGTCAAGGACAAGGTTTAAGTAACAATCACAAATATAAATTAGATTGCTTGGTTGGCAACACAAGTATTTCACAGTGAAAATTGACATACCTGGTGAGCAAAGGCACATCATCAGCAACCAATTTTGGAAAAATGGTCTCAGTGACACTTTGAATCAAAATCTTTTGTTCAGCACCACTGTTGGAAGAATTGGTGATATTGCTAGTAGCAGCCATGGAGCTTTTGATTTGCAGTCGGCCACACTTCAAATGACCAGAACTGGTGAGAACTGCCTTGAGAGCCTGTAATCCAAAATTGTAGTGGGGCTGCTTGGACTGCAAGCTAAAAAACGGAACCACTTTGGAGGCAAGGGTTTTAGCAGTACGGAACCCTTGAGAAAAAAACATGACCTGGGCAATCAATTCCCGGTCTGGTCGAGTGATGGCCATACTTCTGAACAATTTCTTCAAATTTTCAGGTAAATTTGATTGGCCGGCATACCCAAGATTCATGGTGATAAAAATTCTGCAAAGAAGAAGGAAAAGATCATGTTAGAGTACAAAGTCTGATCAGAATCATTGCTGAGGAAAGGTTGTTGAAATTTTTGATTATTGTGTAACAAACTTACACAGTATGTGAATTGATTTTTAGAGTTTTTCCAACTAGTTCTACCTCTGCCTTGGGGTCCACTGAGATGGCCTTGAGTCCCTGTTGAATGCTTTGGATCTGTTGAGACACAGCACTGAGGATTCTTTCCTCCAATCGATTGGCCTCATCAAAACAACCCCAGGCGCCAACTTGACAGAGTCCAACAAAGATTCTGCCCATAGCTTGGAAGTCAAAGATCTCATCACAGCAGAAGACAAGCACGAATTGACCCAACTTCACTCCAAGAGCTTTGACTGACTCAGTTTTACCTGGAAGAAGCAGCTGCATCAACATGTGCTCATCTTTTTTATACAACAACAAAAATGAATACATCAAACTTACCAGGGTCCAAAAGGTGAACCTCCAAATTGACCGTGTACTGCTTGAGTGGGTGTAAGATAGCATTGATCAGTCAGTGGAGTTTGTACCAGTCAATTGGGAACTCCAAGGTATTCAAATCCGTAAGGAAATGTTGCATTGGCCATATGAATTGAGATTTGATTGGTTGGATTGGAATCTGATTGATCAAGATAAAAGTGCATGTGATAGAGCCATTCAAACCGGGCAATTGTGTCAACCTGATCTTTGATGAGCAAATGTATCACATCTCTCTGATGAACTAATTTGGTTATTAGATGTTCACATTTCCTTTGCGTGACCGGATTGAGCTCTCCTAAGACTGCAAATGCCAGTAAGTCCAACATTCGTAAGACAGTTTAGAGTAGGCCCGATAAAGCAACCTTTTTGCGCAGTGCATTCTCAATTGTCTGAGTCCACATGATTTGGATTGCCAAGACAACCACTTGGGCCGGGTAAGATTCCATCCATCAAAGAAATTTTTCCTTGTTGAGAGTTTTGCGCTGAGTGTAAAACATTGTCAGTTCATCAACAATGTATGGTGATTTGGAGACGTGTTTCATGAGGCCAAGGTATTTGGTGTGGATCATGTTGAACTGGTTACTTGCGTTGGGAAGCCGGTGTTTGATGTCGGTATTACCAGAAAAGATAGCTTCAAAGTACACCCATTGGCGTTGAACATCTATCCATTTTTCAAATATTTCACTCATCCGGTTCAAGCGATGAGTCCAAATTGTTGCCTCCTCTTTGAATGTCTTGCAATTAGGCAAGAGTTTCATTTGGTTCAGGATAGTGATATGCTCACTGCACTTGTTGAACAGGTCGTTTCATCCACTGATAAGGCTTGTTGTGTCATGATAGCTGACCAAATCCAAGCAATATCCTTCCCAGGTCTCTTTAACCTGGAAAAAGAAGCCAAAAAAAGATGAGTCTTCTTTTATTATCCGCTCATCCATAGGAAACTTACTTACCTGCTTGATATATTCTCCCAAGGCAAGCTTGCCAGGCACCTGAACCACATGTTCCTTTGTGATCTCACAGACCACAGTCTTCTTCTTCTTGTCTGTTGGCTTGGCCTTTTTCTTCCTTGATTTGAAGATGGTGCTTTCCCAGATCACAGCACTCCAGCTGTCCTCCTGTGTTGGATTGGCAGTTGGATGCCTGAAATAGTGCGTCTTATTATTTGTCCAATGTTTGAATCCATACAATCACATTTGCCTGAGAAATTGCCTTCGGTCTATATTCATGTTTTGGACAAATGCGGGATGTTTGAGTAAGCCATCTATGTTGTCGACCAAGAAGAACGATTCCGCCTGGCTCCACTTCAAAAGGGAGCATTTGAGTAACGTTTTCTTGAGGTTTGTGATGAAAAGCCGTGCTAATTATGAAAAATCAAGAGATTGTATTGTTAGTTAGACTACACTTCTATTTGATATAGTCATCATTTTGTTTACAAGATGAATATTGAAGTTTGAAAAAGAAAAGAATCAAGAAAAGTACCTAAGAGTAGAAATGATTGTTGTGCTTCTTGGTAATTTGAGAGTTGCAGTTTGGTGTTTCTGACTACAGCAGATTGGTGATTGAGAGATTGGAGTGGTACTTGATGGAGAAGATGAATTATACAGAATAAACTAGAGTTACAGTTTGAGATTCAACAACAATTGGCAGTTAGCATGGAGTTGTTTTTCTCTTTTTTGTCTTTGACACAGATGAAGGTATGTACCTAGTCTCTGGCTACGGGGCAGCGTTCCTGGTCCCTACAATCTGCTTGTTTGTGAAAGAATTATTCAGATGTTTAGCAGCATGGGGAATGAAGATGGTTAAGATTGATTGAATGAAGAAGAGTTTGTGCATGTGAACAGACACACGCTGTATAAGTTTCTTTGGATGAGCGTGTTTAGGAATTTTTAGGAGGATAAGAGTGATGAGCCAGCAGATAGTCTGAAGAGAGATAGAGAGAAAGTTGATAAGAAAACAAAGGAACACTTTAGTGATTTGTTCATCAAGCACAGAAGAGGAAAAGAAAATGAAGTAGAGTGAATCACCAGTGAGGTGGACTCACTCTTTTGGGTGTTGGTTAATTCTAGCAAGTAGTGCTGATCCACTGGGCTGGCTGATTCTGTGTGGGATGAGTATATGAAGGAGGTGTTTGGTTAGTTCTGGGTTTTGGAAACCCCAGCTAGCCAGGAGCTCCTCCTGGGGAGCTAGGATTAAAATCAGCTGGCCAGGAGCCCCTCCTGACAGACAAGCTGGGTTTAAACCCAGCTCATTGGAAAGAGCTCCTGGCGAGCTGGGACACCACCTCATTGGATGGAGCTCCTGCCAAGCTGGATTTAAACCCAGATTTTTGGAAGAAGCTCCTGGACAGGTGGGTTTGAACGCATCTCATTGGAAGCTGCTGGAGAACCCAGCTTGTCCTAAGAAGCTCCTGGCAAGCTGGGTTTACTCCCAGCCTGCCGGGAGGAGCTCCTGGTGGGCTGGGTTTAATCCCAGCTTGTTGGAAGGAGCTCATGGCAAACTAGGTTTACTCCCAGCTTGTCGGAAGGAGTTCTTGTCAAGCTGCGTTTACTCACAGATCGTCGGGAGGAGCTCCTGGCGATCTGGGATTAAAACCAGCTGGACGGGAGGAGCTCCTGGTGAGCTGGGATTGAGCCCAGCTTGGCGGGAGGAGCTCCTGGCAAGCTGGGATTGGACCCAGCTCTTCAGAAGAAGCTCATGGCGAGCTGGAATTAAACCCAGCTCTTCAGAAGAAGCTTCTGGCAAGCTGGGTTTACTCCCAGCTTGTCAGAAGGAGCTCATGGAGAGCTGGGTTTACCCCCAGCTCGCCGGAAGGAGCTGTTGTTGAGCTGGGTTTATGGAGGGTGCGGCGTAGTCTCATGTTGGATTACGTGTAATCCGACATGAGACTGTGCCGTATTGGGAGGGACTCCTCCTGACGCGCTGGGTTTGAACCCAGCGTTCAAGGAGTTTCACCTGACAAGATGGGTTTAAACCCATCTGGCCCGGAGTTAAACCCAGCTGGCCATGAGTTAAACTCAGCTGGCCAGGATTTCCTTCTGACAAGCTGCGGTTGAGCCCAGCTCATTGGGAGGAGATCCTTGCCAGATGGGTTTAAACCCAGCTCATTGGGAGTAGCTCCTGGCCAGATGGGTTTAATCCCAGCTGGACAGTATTTCCTGCCAACAGGTTGGGTTTAATCCCAGCTGGACAGTATTTCCTGCCAACAGGTTGGGTTTAAACCCATATGGCCAGGAGCTCCTCCCAAAGATCTGGTTTTAACCCCAAATGGCCAGGAGCTCTTCCTGACAAGTTAAGTTTAAACCCAGCTGGCCAGGAGGTCCTCCTGAGTCCTGAAAAGTTGTGTTTAACCAGATTATGTGTAATACAACCTGAGACTGCACCAAATTGGGTGGGACTCCTCCCAAAAGCTGGCATTAAACTCAGTTTATCAGGGACTCCTCCTGACAATCTGTGTTCAATGCCAGCTTTTATGGAGCCCCTCCTAACAAGCTGGGTTTGATCCCAGCTTGTTTGACTCCCTCCTCACAGCCTTAATTTAATTCCAGCTTTTCTGGAGCTGGTAGCAAAGCCAGCTTGCCAGGCCCTCCTTCCAGCAGGCTGGGTTTCATCCCAGCTTGCCCCAAGCTCCTCCAAAATAGCTAGCCAGGAGCTCCTCCCAGAAATCGGGGTCTCTCACAAAAGTTTGTGGAATTACCCAACTTTTGGGGAGGGAGTATTTCAACACAAGCATCATTTAAAGCCAACCTGTGTAGCGGGCCCATCCTGGTGACCTGGCACATAATCCAGTTTTTTGGCAGGAGCCTCTTACAGCAACATACATCTAATACCAGCTTTTTGGAAGGAACTGCTCCCAGCCAGATGGTATTAAAAGCAGCTTGCTGAGAGGAACCCCTTTCAATGTAGCATAGGCTCATGTGGGATGATGTGCAATCCAATATAGACTGACATCAGACTTGGCAACCTCCTCTGACATACAGCCTGTGGGGCCTTCTGAAAATCTGGGATTAAAATTTAATTTGATTTCAAATCTGGAATATTCATTCTGAAATAAGTGCTGACATCTAGTAAATCATATCAAATTCTGGTGTTTCTTATGTCTTAATCAGCAAAGAATGGGGAACAACCTTGTGTCAACATCTGTCAACCTTAGAGACATGTTGAAATGTCCTAACGGTTTCACAAAACAATTAAAAACAAATAAAAATTAATAAAATTGAAAATAATGAAGATTTCACGTACATGTTAGAGGTTTCACAGATATGTGATCTCTTGAAATTAAGATTAATCAAGGAAAACCAAATCCTTTGAATATTGAAAGCAATCTTCAAAAGAATGACTTCAGCCTTGCAAGATGATCAAATCAAGGCAATGCAAACAACAACAAACTTTAGAAGAAGGACTGGTACAAAGTATTCAACACCTGAGACCGGAATAGTCCTTCCTCCCCCCTCAGCAATAAAAAAATCATCTTACCTCTGATAATTACTATTGAGACACAAAATAAAGGTAATTACTTATTATAACTCACCTGAACACAATATTTTCAGATTGTCTTATTATATCTAATCTCTTTATTTCTGAGTGTCTATATAAATACTTTTGAGATAAGAAATTTTGATCGAATCTGGTTCCATTCTCATTATCCTTAGATTGACCTCGACCGCTATTTCCAAAACTACTACTGTTCCTTATATTGTTTTGGATCCTCTGAAGTAAGTAACTATCGCCTTCAATCTAGAATAAAGAAAACTTATCATAGCGTGTTTCTTTCCTTTCCTTCTCACTCTACTCTATCTTACTTCTCTTATCAAAAAAAAATCAATCTTAATTTTATAAACATAAAAAAAAATTAAATCAACTACATCAAAATCAAATAAATAATTGGGTTTGATCTTAATAACCCTTCCATGTCTCTTGACTGGATAAAAAATTATCACAATCATTATATTTGATTGATCCTATCCCTACCTTTAGGGATAGAGGCCTAGGTGTTTCTTTACCGGCTATAAATATTCTCCAAGAATATAAGAAACCTCAAATAAACAAATAACAAAAAAAGAATACTCAATTTCTCCTCCTTTTCCTTTTATCTTGTTGTATCTGGTCTTATCTCTAATAGTAATATATTATTATTACTCTCATCCATGTCCAGCTTGATCTCTACGCGAGATCGACTGATGACAACATCAGGTAAATTTGGAGGAAGTTAAGAATCTTTTCCAGGGAATTAGGGGGTATCAAATATAACCAAATCCACCATTATTTAATTGAGTGGTTTGAAAAAATCCACCTTTTTTTAAACATGTTGGTTATCCATTTAAACCCTTTTGGGGCCCATTTATGCAAAAGTGACTGGTTTCTGGTGGTGGATTTCCTATATTTGATACCCCCTATTGAGAATAATTTCAGAGGAAAACCTAGTGACTTTCTTGTGAAACTCTTTTTTCATTTATGATTCTTCTAGTGATTTTTATAATCTTTTTTGAATATTTCAAGGTGAATTAGTTGAGACTTGCAGTCACTGGCCCGCCAGTGCCCTGGAATTTCCCCTGGTGTAGGATAAGAAGATAAAAGAATTAGGGTTCAATCTTGAGGGATCAAAAGTAATAGGTAGTCAGATGAGAGGTCCTAATAGAATCAAGATTGTTCCTTGCTGTATAGAGACTTGTTGGAAGTTAGGTCTTCTATATGGAGTTGAGGAGGATTTATGATGGCTGTTTCTTCTAGTGTCTTTCTGATGGAAGGATTGAGAGGAGAAGGAGTGCCGGTATCAAGATTCTGTCTGGTTTTCTTGGTGATAATAGATACTAGTCGCTTATGCTGCCTCTGACCTAAAAGCTCTCTAGAGGATTGGAGATAGGTCTTACGAGTAGTTATTAGGAAGGTTCTAATTTCTTTTATCTTCCAGTAGTAAGAATAGGTGACTTCTTCCTCCTTTTTGGTCAATGTAGAAACTATGTTGTAGGTTAAAGTAGGAAAGGAAGAGCTATCACTCATAGA